ATAGATTGAATTAATTTTTAAAAACCATTTTTGTTGTATTTTTTACATTAACTTTTAGTACCCTTGTACTCACTCCCCAGCAATCACCACACCGCTGTCCAAGAAGTGATACAGTCAGCCAATAGATATATACAATAGTTAACCTCATTAATAAGCTAATAATTAAAATAATAGTGACATGTAGTCTTTGTTAAATGGACAGTTATTAACAAGCACACCTAAAACAAAAGCAAACTAAAAGGACAGCTAGATCAGGAGTGGAAACATAGAAATGAAGATCTCAAGGAGGGTTAGCAACAGGGGAGTGGGAGGAGGAGAAGGGGGGAGAAGGTACAGAAAATAAGTAGCATAGACAGTAGATAGAAAATAGAAGGGGGGGCAAGAATAGCATGGGAAATATAGAATCTAAAGGACTTGAGACACATGGTCATAAACTAAAGGGTGGGTAATGGTGGGGATGGGGGGTAGGGTGGAGGGGAATGAAAGGGGGAATAGAACAACTGTAACAGCATAATCAGTAAAAAAATTAAAAATAAAATAAAATAAAATAAAAATGAAAAAAAAAAACAAAACAAAACAAGAATCTAAAAAACAACACCAGTGAAAGCAAGAGTATAAGGAAGAGACTAAATAGGTTAAATGTATTAATATCCACCATAAGCCTAAAGTTTGAGCGCAGTGTTTGACAAGCTCATTGAAAGCATGTGACCACCGGTTGACCCGAAAGCTGGACCTGGGCAATCAGAGGCTCCTTACCCCTCCCCTGTCCTCTGAATATACTTTCTGCCCACTGTCCCCACAGTGGCGGCTGTTTTCAAGGACACAGCCTTGAGAGAGCCACCTGTTCTAGAGGCCATCTGGATGGGATATGTGACAAGCATGTAAAATTCTAGCAGGCAGGAGTGGAGGTACACTCGTTCGTGTGGCCGCCTGGCCCAAGCCTCGCAGGCAAGTTCTCTTGCTTGTTGGAGCTGCCACCCACCGGTCCGAGCGGGCTCCCTCTTTCTTCGGGCTCTTCCTGCCCAGTGTGTGTGAGGGCCGGTCTCGGGGTTCACCCAGGGAACTCCCGGGATTGTGCACCAACACGTGGATTTTTACCACTATTCAGTTTAAGAAACTTATTTTAACAATACTCAATGATTGACATAAAAGCACACGTTCAAGAAAAGTCGTCACAGTGAATTTTTGTTTTCGGAACATTTTATCACATAATAAATGCATAGCAAGTATAGAAAATTAAACAATAAAGCTCATCCAGCTGAACATTCTTATCGCATTTGTTTGTCTCTCATCCTTTGAAACATTTTATGTACAGTACAAGGTTGGTTTTGCTTTAAAGTAATTATGAGCAGACCAAAGGTTGGGTAAAGTATATCAACTGATTTTTCTTTGTCATTTTATGCATTTCAAAATTCCCCTTGAAATATGTATTATAATAAACAAATGTAACTAAGAATTTTTAATGAGGCATTATTGGGTTTCCCCAAAAGAATGAGACTTAGAACGTATGTTTGTTTCTCCTTTCTGTTTAAAGCCCAATTAGAGAATTAGAGAATAGATATAAATATATATTTTAAAGAATCAAACTGCACCATACTGGGAAATATCAAAGAATGAGAATGGTGCACTAAACTTTTTGAGAAATTCCCAGAATGTTAAAAGCAGATGCAGTTATAAACACACACAGATGCAGACACACAGACACACAGATACAGACACACAGACACAGACAGACACATGTACAGGCACACGCAGCAACAGCAGCAGCCAGCCTGGAAAGGACTCGAGAAAACGTCAAGAGAAATTGCATTGATAATTAATTAATTAGCCTCCAATTAATTAACTGATGTTAGCATTTCAGTTGCCCTTCCCCCACATACGGAGCAGCTGATAGCAGGGATCTTTGCTCCCAGAAGAAAGCCCTCCAAATCAGTCTCCAGAGGCAGTGGGTGGTCTGCTCAAGAGATGCTCAAGAAGGAATGCTGGAGCCTGAGAAAGAAGCAGAGCTTCAGACCCTACCATCCTCCCCGTCAGATACAAAGAGAGAAGCACAGCGTCAATGCAAGGAAAGATACCTATCCTCAGAGATGGAAAACGTCTCCCTACCACTTCTCCCCCTTTGCTGCAGAGGATAATGAACTGCTCATGGGAAAAACTATTTGACTAACAGAACTTAAAACTGCTCATTAAGCCCACACTCAGTTGAATGTGTCAATCAGTCTAGACAGTGGTGCCAAACTTTATCTTGAAAAAGAATTGCCCAGAAGCTTGTTAAAAGGCAGATTCCTGAGCCCCAGCCTTGGAGACTGGGATTCAGCAGGTGTGAGGTAAAGCCCAGGGATGTGCATTGTAACAAGCGCGTCAGCTAATTCAGAGGCAGGTGGTCAGTATGTGACATAGTGGACCCACAGAAGACCAAAGCAAACTAAGAATGAGTCATAACAAACCAAATCAAAACAATGCAAAACAGAACTTCTCCAGAATAACCCTAATTGCCTTGGGGCTGGGATTTGCTTGGATTGAGTCCCTTTAGCACCAAGACCCTGTTTTTTCGTTTATGAATGCGGGTGACCAAAACTGTCACCTGTCTTTCATTGCTTTTAAGGATCGATGAGATGTCATTTGCAAAGAGATTTTATGGGTAACTTTGCACAAAAGTTTTTGGTTTTAAAGTTATGTTTGTAAATACTATTAACTAATTATTCTGAATTTATCCATAATAAAAGCAAGTATATATTTTATGGCAAGATCACAAGTATCCTGATGATATCAACAATTCATGTAATTATTTTTTACTTTATTTAATATTATTCATTCACCATCATTTAATATGGCTTTAAACAGTCCAAAGCCTCTGGATTGGTACCTGTTTGTATGAATGGCCTGATTGGATCATGTGTTTTGCAAATATCAATGGTAAGCTCCAGCATACAGGCTTCTCAGGCCTTATTGACTGTCTAGTTTACAAACAGCTAATAGCTGTGGTTGCCTTCTGGCTAGTCACTTGGTATTTTGGGACAGCTGTTTCTCTGTCTCAGAAGGCTGTCTTGTGAATTGTTGGATGCTTAGTGGCCTCTCCGGATTCCGTTCACTACATGCCAGTAACATGTAGGGTGACGCACTCACAATGTGCCGCAACCGAAAATGTCCCCAGACATTGCCAGATGTCCCCCTGGAAGACAAAACTGCCCCTGGCTCAGAGCCACTGCTGTAACGCACAGGGAATTTTTCTAGAGTTGTGGGAGGTGCAACAAACAAAGAAATAAGAGGAAAAAACTGCCTGGGCAAGTGTTTAGTGAGGCCTGTGAAACGTGAAAAACATTGTGTTCATACTATCATATAAATAGGAGAACAGATGCTACTGAGTAGGATATCTCGAACTTGGCAAGTGACTCAGTGTCTACTTACTCATCTATAAACACAATATATTGTCGGCCTCACAGGGGTAACAGAAAGATTAATTTTATGTAAAGTACCTAGAAGAGTAACTGAATGTAATAAAGCACCAAATAAATGTCATCAGCCAGTATTATTACTATTAACTATTATTTTTCTGCTTGAGTTGAGTAATGTAACAGGTAATAATTCTAAGTAATTCATGCAAACTGAACATTTTTAGCTAATAGTGACTACAGAGAGGTCTCTTTTGAAAAAGAGCACACACACCACAAAACCTTAAATCTTTGGTAGAATAAGTGGAAAATAAACTTTATTTGGTAATTTTGCAGGTATGTACCTATGAGTGTATGCTGTATTATTTAGATTTGGCTTCTTCCAAAAAGCGTATGAGATGATATAATACATACAATACATAATATAAGCAATGCTGTTAAAATAGAGGTAGGCGTGGACATTTTCAGATGTGAAGAAGAAGAAATAAAAGCCACCCCTTTCTAGTGTTTTAGAGCTAGCCAGCCATTAATAATCTAGACGTTTTAAAAGCAAACCCATTTTTCACTTTGGCACACAAGTGACAGCTGATGGTGACAGATCTCAGATCCTCACTGTCAAGAGGAGATGAGGGAATTATTGTGCTTTACCTATGGGAATCGTTCCTTCCTAACTGTATCAGATCCTGGGATGCTGAACATTCTTCAACTCAAATTGCTGTAAAGCAAGATTTCTGGCGTTTTGGTGATTATGATTCTAAGAAAAATAGAGCAGACATTACTTCAAACGAAGGTGTTTACCCCCACACACAAATCTGTAAAATAATATCAGTTGTCTTTCTTCAATGACTGAATCCAAAACTCATAAAAACAATACAAAGAATTTTGACTCAGAGATTTCTAGTGGAGTATATGTTTCTCTCTCTCTCTCTCTCACACACACACACACACACACACACACACACACACACACACACACACACACACACAGTATTACCATAGTAGTTAGAAGAAAAAGCAAGCAGAAAAATTTAGAGAGCTGTAGAGACTGTTGAGCATACAGTCACAGATGCAAAACGCGCCTGGCCTCGGAAACCTTTGAAAACATGGTCCATTGCCTCTGGTGGCTGGTGGTCAGTGCACGTCTGGACAGTGGAGAACTTTGGGACTACTCCCCGAGGGCCTAGGGCGCCCCTAGAGACGCGGCGCTGGGATCAGAGCAGAATGGAGGGAAGCAGAGACGGTGGGAGTTGTGCGAGGTGTTAGCCTCGCTCTGCATCCGTTGCCCCAGGGGTCCCCTGGGCCGCCAGACGCAGTGACTCTGAGGAGGAGCGCGAGCGCCTCCCCGCTGCTCCCGCAGGGGGCGCCGCGGCCAACCCTCCCTTCCTGGGGCCGCGCGGCCAAAGTCAAGGCCCGGACGCGAACAGCTTTCCTCAGAAGACTGCAGCAAGCCTCGAGCCGACTGGTGGCACAACCAGGATCCAAGACAAGCGGGCATCGGCAGCTTGGCTGCGGGTATCCCTGGCCAGGTGGCTCCAGGCCTGGTCTCCGCAGCTGCGCCTCGCTCTGGACAAGTTTGCCCCACGCTCATCAAGTTGCGAGCGCGGAGCTTCTCTCCGGGGCTCTGGGAAGAGCATCCTGCTTCTCGCTCGGGCTGCTCCGTGCATGGCTCTGCCGGGGGCGGCGCCACACATCTGGGGGTGGCTGCTGCTAGGCGGCTGCCTCCTCGCTGGAGCCCAGGTAAGAATACGGGACCCGCAGCACCTGCTCCTCTGAACCTCCGGCTGCACTCGGAATCAGGTAGACGGAGACTCTCTCTCTCTCTCTCTCTCTCTCTCTCTCTCACACACACACACACACACACACACACACACACACTTTAGTGGAACTACAAAGATATGCTTTGACTGATGTCCTGAGGGTGAGGCTGGGAGGTGAAGGAACTTTTCTTACGCGTAGTCGCCTTTGACCCCATTTAATTAATCCAAATTATTTTTGTCTGCTGGCAATTTACCATCACTTTTGCGAACTTAAACTTCAAGGATCAGATTGTTACCATTACCTGAAAGGCCACCTGGCTCTCCTTGGTAAAAAAAAAAAAAAAAAAAAAAATCATGTATTATCAAAGCAAAAAAACTAGATGGAAAAATATCTCCAAATAGAGCTCAGTTGTTAATGTTAAGAATAAGGGGTGGTTGTGATTTCGTACCATGCTAACTAATACCGTTTAGAGATTTTCCGGGCTTTCACAAGGGACCCTCTCGCATGTGCAGGCCACATTTCATCTGTACATTTTCCTTGTGTCAAATAAAATCTAGAGTTTACACTCAGCTCTTTAGATGAACTAGGAAGAGATGTACTGCTGGGTGTAGTGCAGTTTTAAGAGCCCCGTGAATTTCAACGGAATCAACCTTATTACTCCTTCTGATCGGTAGGGGGCGCGTCTTGACCATCAAATAAAAGCCCCAGTTCTTTAAAAATCCTTCACAGTGAGAAAATTAGGCGTTGATTTTTGCACGGATACTATATAAACTTAATAGTATGTTACTGGCTTTTAGATGACCAATTTGGATTACGATTATACTAAAAGTGCAATTTTTAAAAAACCACATAACCACAAAAATGAAAGGAGATAGTGCCCTGCTAAATACTGGGCTTTACCTGACACAACCAGGGTGTTTCCATAAATTTGTTCTGTTTAAAAAAATCAAACAATGTGTGCATTATACATTGACTGGTAAGATTAGCTGTCAGAGTGGAGGAGGTTTGTGGGGCTGGTTGAAAACTTTGGCGGGATTAAGAATGAAAAGAAGACTCACAGTCACAGACAACAGCAGGGTGACTACCATGGGGGAGGGAGGAGAGGATTTAGACGAGAGTAAAGGGGGCACGATGGTGACGGAAGACGACTTGAATTGGAATGGTGAACACATAGTACAATATACACATGATGTGTCATAGAGTCATACACCTGAAACCTATATAATTGTATTAACTAATGTCAGCCCAATAAATTCAGTTAAAAAAAGATTAGCAATGGATGCTTAAGAGCGTGGTGTGCTTAAACTTGAAAACTTTCACCAACAGAAGTAATATGGCTGAATTGAAAAAAACCCCTAAGATTTTGGTGATAGTTATAGGACTCTGGTGATCTCTAATGTACTGCCCGCATGTCTATTTCCTAAGATACTTGAATAATATGCTTAAACACACTGCTTCCTTGTATAAAAGGCAAGTGAGTGCTAACCACTTATTTTAGTCAGTGTTCTAGATTATTTCTTTAAGAAAATGTGAAAATATCGGTTAGTACAACAACAACAGGAAATCAGTATGGGACTATGGATAGAACATTTCTGTTACTTTTAGATTTCAATGAAACAATCAGGATATTAAACATTGCTTTCTATAAGCCTAAACCAAGGTTTCTCCACCTGGCACTCTGGACATGTGAGGCTGTATAATTCTTTGTTGTGGGTTTGTCTTGTACGGGGAGGATACTGAGCACCATCCCTGCCCATTTCCACTGGATTCCAACAGCGTCCGGCCCCCCTGCCCCTGCCCCTGCCAAGCTGTGACACCAAAGGTGTCTCTAGATATTGTCAAATGTCCCCTTACAGGCAAAATTGCTTCTGGCTGAGACCCATTGGTTTAAAGTGATTTTCATTTATATTTCTAGGTTAAGAATTGTATGAAATGGCAATGTGTGATAATACATTCCATTTTTGGCACTTTAAACAAAATCTGAAAGTTAAAGTGATTGACATGGACATTGAGAACTTTGCTGATCTTTAGTTTCTTTATCTTTGCTGCCAGTTCATACATACATATATTTAACAAGTTTTGATTCGGTGCTAGAATAACAAAGAGAACTCATTCAAGCAGAATTGGCATGTGTGGAATGATTCTTTAATAGTCAATAGACCTTGGATCACATCATAGGATAGATTATATAGACTGGTACTTGTTGATTGTTTTAGAAATTTCTGTGTTTTTTTTGTTGGCAAAGATGGCACCCTTGACTCAAAGCACAGTTCAAAACTCATTCATTCATGCATCAGGCATCATTACAGAGCCCAGCCATGTATTTCCTCAAGTTAGGTACCACATGGTAATGAGGACCACGATATGAATATGTGTAGTATATTTTACTGTTGTCAGTGGTTCCTCCTAAAAAGACTCTGATGGAATTAGGGCTGCAGTGGGTATATTGGGGAGTAATGCTTGTGAGAGATAAAAGGGTACAGAGGCAGGATTGGATAGGGGGAGCCTCAGACCAGGGTGCGAATCTGACAAAGTCATGGCCAACTCAACAGAGAGCTCTGGGACAGTTTGTCCATCAGAGGAGTCCCATGTGGCTAGGCCCTAGCACTCCCATTGTGCTCAGTCATCAGCTGGGGTTGTTTATAAGATCACAGTCTTGGCTGCAGGGCTCAAGCACATGATTAAAAGCAGTGCACCTGGAGGCTAGTGGCCAACTGACTCCTAGCGGACCAATGGCTGGTCTTTCTTGAAGGACCAGCTCCATGGTAACCTCCATGGCTGCCTCCCTTACAGAATTATCAAGGAGCAACATTGGCTTTGCTGGGCTGACCCCACGTGACTCGGTCACTTTCTCCGGGCTCCATGGCAGCAGATCGTGTGGCTCTCAGACAGTGTGTGTGCAGGGAAGTGAGTACAAATCAATCAGCACAGCTAGAAAAATTCCCAGAAGCTAATGACATACTGAATAGAAGCAATAAGTTCTACAGAGTGCCAGGTGTGAGCAGGCAGTCATGGGCAGGGTTTGTTTTTTCTAGTTATTACTCATTTTTGCCTGGGTGGAATCTCATCACTGCCATGGACATTCCCATACAGGGGAAGGGGCGCTATCCTGGGAACCCAGAAAGCCGAGTTCACATTCTTCTGATAACATTAAACTAGGCATTAAACTTGACCTCTATTCTCATTCTGTGTGTGGAGGAGGATGAGTTCTACTGATCTTCCTGTGTGAAGATTCAGAGTCTACTGGAAAATCCAAAATCTCTTAACGGGGTGGAAAAAAACTGGTAATCAGTTACTTAACATGTGTAGAGTTCTGTGCTAAGCATTTTAATCTATTATGATCCCATTTAATTCTGATAGTAACTTTATGAGATAGGCACATTTCATAAATGAGAAAAGGGGGCCAGGAGATTTTAGATAATATTCTCAAGTCCCACAGCTAAAGAGTCACGATTCGCATGCTGGCTTCTATTCTGAGCCCACCCCTCAGACTGGTGCCTCATTATGGAGACCAGCTGGACACTGCTTAGCTGAATTATGTATGTGCGTGCCTCCCTCTCAGCAGTATCCACTCCTGGGTATAGATCCTGAGGAGTTTCTTGGTGACACAAGCCCATCATGATTATTGCAATAATTCTCTGGTATTAGAGAGCTGAGGACAATAAAAAGCAATTGATTCAATGTGCACAAAGCAGCATGAATGAGATCTTTAAAAACAAAGACACTGAAATAGAGAACAAGGGGACAGTGACCAGAGGGGAGAGGGGAGGGAATTTAAGGGGAAAAAATGGGAGGGATTTAGAGGAACAAGTATGAAGGACACAGGGACAATAACTAAGGGGGTGGAAATGGGAGGGAGGTGGGGAGCATGGGGCAGGGTGGGCTGGGATGGGAGAAATAGACAGAAAACTGTACTTGAAAAATAACTAAATAAAAAAACAAAAAATTAAAAAACAGGATATAATACAACACAAATGGGATGTGCAATACAATACCATTTACATACATTAAAATACATGCATGTAAACATGTTCAGATGAAAAGGTATATGTGTATAGATATTTCATATAAATGGTTGGATATAGGAAGGCAGAGAAGTACGAGTGGAGTACAGTGATAAAAGGGGATAGGTGAAATTAATAAAGCAAGTAAACCCTCTCAATCTCAATCTCTTGTGTTATTTGGAGATTCTGGTGACAGTAGATGGAATTACCAACAAGCCATTATTGGTAGGTTTAGAAAGAGGACATAACTGGGACCTAGGCAGTTTCTCCACGATGGTGAGCTAGGGCACTACCCTCAGCACAATAAAATGAAACCTACAGCCAATTAGCTCTGTGTTGTGCTTATTTCCATGAGCACTATTGTAATCAAAGAGCTGATGGTTGGTTTGTTCTTCCTTCCTGTTGACAGCCAGGTCTGTTTCCATTTGTCTTCTAATTATGCGGAGACCTGGTACCCCTGAAGGTGGCCTTCTTGGTGACCACACTAATTGTGGGTGGTCCCTTCAGCCCCAGGGACCCAGGAGCAGCAAGATATCCATCTTGGGAGTCACATGTGGCTTTTTCTTGGCAATGTACAGAGAGTAGGTCTCATTTGCTCAGAACGTTCTCAGTTCATTGTAAGGAAAATTAGAGCATTTTCAACTAACATTCACACATTCCATTTAATTTCCTATCTTGGGCTTCAGCTGGTTTTGCCATCTGCTAGAAATCATCTCCTTTCTTTCCCCTCTGTTTTTGTCTTGCCTTTGGGTTGCTCTTTAAACTTTTTAATGGCAATGTGGCTTCAGGCAATTTATTTCATCTCTTTGTGCCTCCATTTCCTCCATTCTAAAATGGGGAAAATAATCTCATGTATCTCAGGGAATGTGGAGAGTATTGAATTAAAAAATGTAAAAACAAACTGTAATTGAAAAAAAAGTGTACAAAGCAGATAAAAGCCTTAAGGTGTCTGATAATGAAGATAGCAGCTCTTTT